GAGGGTTGAGACAGGGGATTCTCCGACTAAAACTTGTCACATCCGAGGGTTGAGACAGGGGATTCTCCGACTAAAACTTGTCACATCCGAGGGTTGAGACAGGGGATTCTCCGACTAAAACTTGTCACATCCGAGGGTTGAGTCAGGGGATTCACCGACTAAAACTTGTCACATCAGAGGGTTGAGACAGGGGATTCTTCGACTAAAACAATTGTAGGACGTCATGCATGTCAACAAGACAATAACGTCACATCAATAATGCATTGAGCCTTTAATGCCAACACTGCATTATGAATATGACAGGATCATGACAGGATCAACAGGGTGAGAGAAAATTCACCCTTTTGAGGTGGGCTGGAGAATCTTCCTCCTGGTTGAGATTCCCTAATTCTCACTCCCAAAAGATGAAAAAAATCTATTTATCTCAAGAGGTTGTCTCCTTTCACTTTATTTATTTACAAAGAAAGAAAGTAATGTAGAGAAATAACACATGGAACTTCAGAACTCTTAATAAATTGTGGGTATCATGGGTTGAACATACTCTCATTTTAATCTGCTGATGTCATTTAGTTTATTGTACTTGGTCCTTTGTTACGGTTTTGAATAAAAATATATTCTAATTAACTGATTAAAATTTTACATACCATTAGGAGAATTAATGCAAATGATGGCCTATTAAACAAAATAAGAGTTTCTAAACACAACTTTATGTACCGGTACATACTCTGCTCTCTCACAATCTCTCAGACTTGGAAGATATTTAACAATCATCTAATAAATTCACATTTCTTGTCATGCTTCACAATCAAACAGTTAATATTAGAGACTTTTCAAAACCAGTTTCTATCAAATAATTGTAAAGAAAAGGAGTACAACTATTATCTGGGGTTAAGAATGACAGAAATATTATTTGACAGTTTTGACACCTCCTCAGAGGGTTCACCATTCCCTCCCTTATGACCTATTTAGATATGTAGAAAGTTGTCTTACCTCCTTAATGGGTTCACAATGCCCTCCTTTATGACCTGCTTGACCTCTTCATACTCAGGAAGGTCATCGCTACGTTTAGGTCTGTACAGAATACCATCAAACACTGTCGTGAAGTAGAACATCGCAAACAATGTAGCATCGAGGTAACAAGAGTTATGGTGACCTTGAATGCCCTTTTCTTTACCACAGACTTTATGTCTTATATCGAATACCTCCATAGAATCTGGTGGAGAAATATTTCCCGGAACATCCGGAGTTTCTAATCTTCCAAAGTTATTTTTTCCCATGGCATCTTCTAAAGACATTTTGCATTCCACAAATCGCTTGTCCTTTCTACACTTATACAGGGGAACAAAGAAGGCCTTCCTAGGAGCACAATGAAACATGCGATGTTGACCAAACGTACCGTCTGTTCCCGCAGATATTTCTTCTTCCTGTGAATAATAACATAAAAAAACATTACAAGAATTTATGGAAGACAAATACTGATAATACTCCCAACATGGTGTGCAAGAGTCTATAGTTGCATATGACATACTTATACTTCGTTTGATTTGATGTTTATAGTATCAGGAAAGATTTACATTATACGTATGATAAATGATGTCTTGCAAAATATACTGATTATATAGCATAAACTCACCATTTCCAGTCCAGCGATTGGTTTAAGTGGTTTCTTCTGGTCAGGGAGGTAGCCAGTCCACTTAATGACCCCATACAATGGAGGGTTGTTCATGACCTCCACCATTGACCCCACCTCAAGGTCGGGGTCAGCATTTGGGATGGACTCCTGACCCCGTTTGCTGCCCCCACTCCCAGGTTGTTCTAGGGACTCTCGTATGACAATCTCAGAGGTGGACGGCTCAGGACTTCTCTTTAAATCTGGATAGATGAACATCAGTTCTATTATTTTAGTTATGTTTTTAGAGGTTGCCACATTTTACAAAGGTCACAAGTTTTTGTAGAGGTCAATTTTTACAAAGTTCATGACCTTTTGGTTAAGTTGGTGATTATGACAAATGTCTTTAGAAGAATGTAGAAATTGTCTCTTTTGATAAATGACAAATGCCTGATCATGTTTATTGAAGATTTTGCACACAGCCCCTTCTTGAGTATAACTTCTAATCCTCAGCATCTAAGCTAAGGATAATTTCATGAATGTTAGTCAAAATCCACTTTTAAGTTTCAGAGGAGATATTTTTTGCAGATTTTGCACTCAATGACCATTTATAACCCTGCATATCATCCCCTAGGGTTGATGTCAGCCCCTTCTTGAGAAGACATTTCATCCCCCCTATAGGCAGATGATTTACCATCAGGTTTTATCAAAATCTGACAAATGGTTTCTGAGGAGAAGTAAAAAATATGACTGTTAATGTTTATGAACTCAGTGACCCCATATGGTCCCATCCCTCAGCCACCTATTATGTATAAATTCTGATCATCATCATCATATGAAATGTTGGTCAAAATCCACAGGTAAATTTCAGAGGAGATGTTTTTTGAATATTTTGCACTCAATGACGCTTTATAGCCCCACCCCTTAGCCCCCTGGGGTGTCAGCCCTATCTTGAGTATATGTTCTGATCTTCACCCAAGGCTGATGATTACCACCAAATTTCATCAAAATCTGACTGACGGTTCCTGGGGAGAAGTTAAAAATGTTATTGTTTACTTGTTTACACATGAAGGACGAAAAGTGATCACAGTAGGTCACCTGATTCACTCGGGTGACCTAATTTGTTTACCTTTAAATGTTCCACCAATTTTCATAGTTTTGGTAGTTTCCTCCAGTGTTAAACAATTTGTGTAAAAGATCTTTTCAAATGTATTTATAAAAAATATACATACATTTATTATGTATACTACAGTTTAATATGAGGCAACTGTTATGAATACCAGATTATGTAATAGTTTTAATGGTTTAAACATGTATACAGTCTAAAAATCCATTGTACTGAATTGAAACAGTTATCAATTATACATATAACTCTATTCTACCTAGATTATAACTGTCAAATCTCTTGTCTGATTCTATATAAAATGTTATCAATTGATAAATGCATGCACATGACTTAACACTCAGCACAATCATCAATGGCATGCAAACATAGTTACCGATATGTTCATTCATGTGTGATCAGGGTCTGTCTTATCATTCACACGAGTGAGTCCATCAGTTACACACAGTTCAAGGATCACTTCCTGTCTCCTTTTATGTTTATATTACTTAAGCTTATTATCATTGGTTTTCCTGTTCATTGAGAATGAGGAAATTCCTAATGGGATTTCCATGTTTCTGTACACACATTCAACCGTATTCAACGTAATTAGCGTTCCTCCCCATATATAGAATATAAGATCCCCTCACAGACCTGACAAGGCCCAACCAATGACTAATAGAGAGTACTTTCACTTTAAAACAGAGACTTATGTCTGGTAACATGGCTGGGATCTTTAAAATATCCTTTGGTGATAACAACTGGTTGAAGATGCACAACTTTTTCTATTAAAAATCTTCTTTTTTCTGCTTTTCATTCTAAGACAATTTTAAGTGCCCTGGGTGCTAATTACAACACGTATGGAAGTTGATAAATTAGCTCAAGTAGTGTAATAGACCTGTAGCATCAGTACCAGTGTGTACCATATACAGACTTCCAAGCCTCGTACTTTCACTTCTCCTAGCATATAGTAGCACATAGCTGGTGCTGTCATGTTTAGAATAGCTTAAGACATACATCAGATCTCTATTTAAACAACTTTCTTCCAACAACACATCTTCAGCAAAATGTAAGACAGACACATAAAGCTAACCAGCTCTACACTTATAAACATTTTCCATTCATAATTAAGGTACCAGGTAACTTTTTTTCAGTATCAACTTTCCTAACTTTGTAAAAAGAAACATTCATTTGTTTCTATGTACTTCTTAACAAGAGGCCTGATGGGCTTGTATCACCCACCTGTTGTTCATCTGACAACTTTAATCTCACATCTTCAATAGGCTACATGTCAAGTATCATTACTTTACAAAGTAAGTGATTTTGTTTGAAGATTTTGTTGTTCTATAGAATACTTGATCAATATCATTGAATTCAATGAATGTGAACAAACTTGTCCTTCATACCGGAATGCTTCTAGCCAATTATCATGACCCGAAGCCTTTGGTTATTCAGAAGAAGATGTGTAAAGTCTTTATAATTGTTTGTCTCCTGTGACCTTGAAACTGGTCAACATCATTTATTCAATCAAATTTAAAGCCTTTATCCCACCGCGTCATTGACCAAATATCAGCATTTGGTGTATCTTGGTTATTAGGAAAAATTTGGTCAAAGAAATCAGATACTTTTTCATACGTTTAACCTCTGTGACCTTGCAAGCAGGATGAGGTCTTGGTATATCAGAGGAATTTGTTTGAAGGGTTTAATGTATTAAAACCCCTTGACAATCAATAGGGGTGAACATTATCAACAATTTAAACCAATTTGATAGCCCTTTATACGTACATGGTACTAGCTAAATATCATCCTAGGACTCTTGGTTACTCAAAATTCATTTTAATGATTTTCACATATTTGACCCCCTCTGAACTTGAATGTGGGTCAAAGGCCATTTTTTACATACTTCATAGCTCTCCATCACAGCATGTTTCTGACTAAATACATGTATCAACATCCTAGGACTCATTTGTAGTTAGTTTTCTTTCTTTTGAACCCAGTGACCTTGAAAATAGGTCAGGGTCATTTATTTGAACAAAGTTAATTTTGGTATATTACGCGCAAAATATCGCTATTCTAGGCCAACCACATTTTTGACCAAATGTTATTTTATGCCTTTTGGTTAATCAGAAGTTATAGAAAAGTTTATTACAATTAATCACTGTGACCTTAAAAGTTCTTCAAGGACATTTATTTGAATAAACATGGTAGTCATTCCTTCTGGCATGCTACTGACAAAATATCATCATTTTTAGCCCCTTGGTTATTGATAGTTTAATTTGTTTGAATGTTTTAAATTTTTAACACATTTAAACCCCCTTGAACTTGAAACTGGTGTTTGTTCTAGTGTTAACGTTACTGACAGTGATCATGCTAGAATGTTATTATCCATGTACTCTTGTTTTTTTCCTGTATGCTCCCTTGCCCATTCCCCCCTCCCTCCCAAGACTGAAAAGCTTCATGCAACTGGTACATCATGCTATATGTTTGTCTTTCAGTTTGGTAGCCCATTTAAAACACATGTCCACTAAATTTTAATACAATTTTATCCATTGTGTTTTGTGCCCGCACCTCTGGTTTCATTGTATTCATCCATATATTAAAAATATCATATTAGAGTCGCCAAATGGTAACTAATACCTGTAAGTCAATATTCATATTATTTTCAGAAACTACTATTAAAACAAAATATTAGGATCAAATTATGTATTATTTACAATAAATATTTGAAACTGAAGTAAACCAGAGCATGTCTTCTTGGCTTTAGAGCCTATCTATGGCCTTTTCTTACTTAAAAATACCCTGCAAAGGTAGGACCTTTTCTAGCTAAAGTTCCTTCATACTTATATTTAGGGCCTTTTCAAGACTGTAGGAACCTTGAGAGTGATAACTAGCCACAATATGTACATAATATTTTCAGTAACTATGACCTAGACCCTTGACAATGATACATATACAAACATAATGAATCTTTGTGAAAATGTGATGAAATTATATTATCAATAACAGTGACCTTTGACTGATGGCTGCCATCAAGGCAAACATTATTGTGAAGTTTCATGAAAATCAGTCAAAGTATACAACTGCTGTTATCGTGTCGGTGAAATCTACTTTTATATACAGTGACCTTGACCTTTAACTGATGGCATCCACATTTGAACTTGTTCAAAGAATGCCAAAGTCAATCATAACTGTCACTTTGCTTTTTGTGTACAGAAGAACCTAGTTAGTCAAGACATTTTGAATTTTATATACAGGAGAACCTAGTTGGTCAAGACACTTTGCTTTTTGTATGCAGTAGAACCTAGTTAGTCAAGACATTTTGAATTTTATATACAGTGGAACCTAGTTGGTCAAGACACTTGTCTTTTTATATACAGCACATCCTAAAGTAAGTCAAGACCCTTTGCTTTTTATGTACAGCACATCCTAAAGTAAGTCAAGACCCTTTGCTTTTTATATACAGGAGAACCTAATTTGTCAGGACACTTTGCTTTATGTACGCAGTAGAACCTAGTTGGTCAAGACACTTTGCTTTTTGTATGCAGTAGAACCTATTTGATCAAGACACTTGTCTTTTTATATACAGGAAAACCTATTTGATCAAGACACTTTGGATTTTATTTACAGTGGAACCTAGTTGGTCAAGACACTTGTCTTTTTATATACAGGAGAACCTTATTGGTCAAGACACTTTGCTTTTTATATACAGGAGAACCTTATTGGTCAAGACCCTTTGCTGTTTATATACAGCACATCCTAAAGTAAGTCAAGACACTTTGCTTTTTATATACAGGAGAACCTGGTTTGTCAGGACACTTTGCTTTTTGTTAACAGTACAACATAGTTGGTCAAGACACTTGTCTTTTTATATACAGGAGAACCTTATTGGTCAAGACCCTTTGCTTTTTATATACAGTAGAACCTAATTGGTCAAGACACTTTGCTTCTTATATACAGTAGATCCTAAAGTAAGTCAAGACACTTTGTTTTTTGTTAACAGTACAACATAGTTGGTCAAAACACTTGTCTTTTTATATACAGGAGAACCTTATTGGTCAAGACCCTTTGCCTTTTATATACAGTAAAACCTATTTAGTCAAAACACTTTGCTTTTTGTATATAGTAGAACCTTGTTAGTCAAGACCCTTTGCTTTTCATATACAGGAAACCCTAGTTTGTCAGGACACTTTGCTTTATGTATGCAGTAGAACCTATTTGATCAAGACACTTTGGATTTTATTTACAGTGGAACCTAGTTGGTCAAGACACTGGTCTTTTTATATACAGGAGAACCTTATTCGTCAAGACCCTTTGCTTTTTATATACAGGAGAAAATAATTTGTCAGGACACTTTGCTTTATGTACGCAGTAGAACCTAGTTGGTCAAGACACTTTGCTTTTTATATACAGCACATCCTAAAGTAATTCAAGACCCTTTGCTTTTTATATACAGCACATCCTAAAGTAAGTAAAGACCCTTTGCTTTTTATATACAGGAGAACCTTATTGGTCAAGACCCTTTGCTTTTTATATACAGGAGAACCTTATTGGTCAAGACACTTTGCTTTTTATATACAGCACATCCTAAAGTAAGTCAAGACCCTTTGCTTTTTATATACAGGAGAACCTAATTTGTCAGGACACTTTGCTTTATGTACGCAGTAGAACCTAGTTGGTCAAGACACTTTGCTTTTTTTATGCAGTAGAACCTATTTGATCAAGACACTTTGGATTTTATTTACAGTAGAACCTAGTTTGTCAAGACACTTTGCTTTTTGTAAACAGTACAACATAGTTGGTCAAGACACTTGTCTTTTTATATACAGGAGAACCTTATTGGTCAAGACCCTTTGCTTTTTATATACAGTAGATCCTAAAGTAAGTCAAGACACTTTGCTTTTTGTATCCTGTAAAACCTAGTTAGTCAAGACCCTTTGCTTTTTATATACAGGAGAACCTTATTGGTCAAGACCCTTTGCTTTTTATATATAGTAGATCCTAAAGTAAGTCAAGACACTTTGTTTTTTGTATCCAGTACAACATAGTTCGTCAAGACACTTGTCTTTTAATATACAGGAGAACCTTATTGGTCAAGACCCTTTGCTTTTTGTATACAGTAGATCCTAAAGTAAGTCAAGACTCTTTGCTTTTTGTATTCAGTAGAACCTATTTGGTCAAGACACTTGTCTTTTAATATACAGGGGAACCTTATTGGTCAAGACCCTTTGCTTTTTGTATACAGTAGATCCTAAAGTAAGTCAAGACTCTTTGCTTTTTGTATTCAGTAGAACCTATTTGGTCAAGACACTTGTCTTTTAATATACAGTAGAACCTTATTGGTCAAGACCCTTTGCTTTTTGTATACAGTAGATCCTAAAGTAAGTCAAGACACTTTGGTTTTTGTATCCTGTAAAACCTAGTTAGTCAAGACCCTTTGCTTTTTATATACAGGAGAACCTGGTTTGTCAGGACACTTTGCTTTTTGTTAACAGTACAACATAGTTGGTCAAGACACTTGTCTTTTTATATACAGGAGAACCTTATTGGTCAAGACCCTTTGCTTTTTGTATACAGTAGATCCTAAAGTAAGTCAAGACACTTTGGTTTTTGTATCCTGTAAAACCTAGTTAGTCAAGACCCTTTGCTTTTTATATACAGTAGATCCTAAAGTAAGTCAAGACACTTTGCTTTTTGTATTCAGTAGAACCTAGTTGGTCAAGACACTTGTCTTTTAATATACAGGAGAACCTTATTGGTCAAGACCCTTTGCTTTTTATATACAGTAGATCCTAAAGTAAGTCAAGACACTTTGCTTTTTGTATGCAGTAGAACCTATTTGACCAAGACACTTTGGATTTTATTTACAGTACAACATAGTTGGTCAAAACACTTGCCTTTTTATATACAGGAGAACCTAGTTATTCAAGACACTTTGCTTTTGGTATACAGTAAAACCTAGTTGGTCAAGACACTTTGCCTTTTATATACAGTAAAACCTATTTAGTCAAAACACTTTGCTTTTTGAATATAGCAGAACCTTGTTAGTCAAGACACTTGATTTTTGTATACAGTAGAACCTTGTTAGTCCAATTGCTTTGGTTCGTTTATGAAACAGAACATTGATTTTTAACATGTACATTGGAACAGTGTAAATCTGTTAACCTTAGTTTCTGTGTTCTGTTGAAACTTGTCAGCCTGATACATACTGGTCTATGAGTACAGTAAACTCAAACTAGAATTAGGATACAATGGTTTGTGAGTACAGTAAACTCTAACCAGAGTTAGGATACTATGGTTTTTGAGTACAGTAAACTCTAACCAGATTTAGGATACAATGGTTTGTGTGTACAGTAAACTCTAACCAGAGTAAGGATACAATGGCTTGCGAGGACAGCAAACTAAAACCAGAGTTAGGATACAACTGTTTGTGAGTTCAGTAAACTCTAACCAGAGAAAGGATAAAATGGTTTGTGAGTACAGTAACCTCTAACCAGAGTAAGGATACAATGGCTTGCGAGGACAGCAAACTAAAACCAGAGTTAGGATACAACGGTTTGTGAGTTCATTAAACTCTAACCAGAGTTAGGATACTATGGTTTTTGAGTACAGTAAACTCTAACCATAGTAAGGATACAATGGTTTGCGAGTACAGTACACTTTAACCAGAGTTAGGATACAACTGTTTGTGAGTTCAGTAAACTCTAACCAGTGTTAGGATACAATGGTTTGTGAGTAAAGTAAACTCTAACCAGAGTTAGGATAGAATGGTTTGTGAGTACAGTAAACTCTAACCAGAGTAAGGATACAATGGTTTGCGAGTACAGTAAACTTTAACCAGAGTTAGGATACAATGGTTTTTGCTAAACTGAACCTTGCTAGTCTGGACACCTTAGTTTGTGTACAGGGGAACCTTGTTAGTCCAGATAATTTGGTTTGAGTATAAATTGGAGCCACTCATTTAGACTGGACATCTTGCATTTTTATGTACAGTGAAATATTGTAAGTCAAATTATAAGACACATTGATTCATGTATACAATGGTTCTGTGTCAGTTCTTTTTCTGCAGTTGTTGGGTTTCTGTGTACAGCGGAAACCTTGTCAGCCTGAAAACTCAGGTTTCTGTGTACAGTGGAAACCTTGTCAGCCTGAAAACTCAGGTTTCTTGCCGACTCAACGTTGTAAATTGATATATTTTGGTTTGTGTAATTTTAAAGCCTTGTTACACCAGACATTCTGTCTTGTCATGGTAAGAGAAGAACATTGCATTTAGTCTGAACACTATTGTTTGTGCAAACATTTGAATGTTATCATTCCAGACATTTTGAATTGTGTATTGTGGAACCTTGTAAGTACAGACACTTTGGTTTCTGTGCGCAGTTTAACCCTGTTAGTCTAGAAAGATTGGCTTGTGTGAAATAAAATAATCATTATATGTGTTATACATCATTTCTGTCAACATACCTTGATTTTTCTTATTATATTCATATACAGGGTTTAGTCCTTGACCTTTTTCTTCAGTAGGCTCGGTCTGTCGATACATAGGTTTAGTTAATCCTATTTGTTTGGGAGGAGCATGGATGTCCGCAGTGACTTTATTTTTAACATCGTTTAGATCAAACTGTTCTTCTCTGTGATACGTCTGTGCTCCTCCTTGTTTAGAATATTTTTGCTGAGCACCATATTTGTCCGTCTGTTGTTGCGATAGCTTGCGTTTCTCTGCCTCCAGTAAGAGCTGTTCCTGTTCTCGAAGCAGCTCTGGCGTGGTGTTGGAACCTTCCATAAATACCTTGTTACTGTCGCCATAGTTAGGGGCTAGATTGTAGGGGGAAAACAGAAGGTGTTAGGGTCAGTGAAGCCAACAAGACAACCATTACCATGCAATAAAACACACACACAAAGTCAACATAACTGAAGAAACAAATGCGGCAAACAGCCATGGCAAAGGGATATGGTTTGCAACTGTTAGTTAATTTTGTAGGATTTCTTCTGGCAAATCTAGAGCACTGTTATTTCCAAATATTAAGGAGTCTCACAACTAAGCGATATAGTAGGTTATCAAATTTGGATGAGACCAGCAGAAATTGCATGAGCCCATGGCCATGACTCAAATATGTGTGTCCCAAAAATCACTGTTTTACAATTTCAAAAACAAATACATGAACCTTAAATACCATTGACCTTTGAGTTCCTATGATATGCAATTGCTCCCTACCCAAAAAATAGTTGTTTTTTTCAACAATTCTCTCCAACAATTATTTTTTGGTTCTCAAACAATTTTGGCAAAATCTTATTACATCAAACACTTGACCAAGGTAATATTTCAGTAGTTTAGATTCTTCTCTAGATAATGATGGGCAAACAAGAAATAGATGTATCTCCTTTTGGTAGATCTGCTCTAAGTTTAAAGTAAATTAAGTGTGAAATTAATTAATTCCAGATTATCTTTTTTAATTTAATCTTGCTGGTAACAAGCATTTTAATTGGCTTCAAAAGTTATGTTATCAGCCCATAACGTAAAAAATGACATGGCTGTTTGTAACGTCGCTTTTGATTGGCTGATACAGCAGCGTAACAATTTCTAAGAGAAAAGAGTCCACCAATAAGAATGGATTTCCACAGGGATTGTGTATAGTCGATTAAATTATAAGGATTAACTTGAATATATTTTTTATGTTTTGGAGATATAAAACAAAAAACCGGAGTGTACTCTAAATAAACCAAACATTCTCCAAGCAATAAAAAAAATAACTTACTTGTATCTCTGACCGCAACATCATCAGCTTTTATAAGGCCCATAATAGGTACTAAAGAAGCATGTTGTGCTTTGGCATAGAAAAGACGAGTATTTTTATATTTCCCTGTCCCCGAACCCACGGGATTATCCTGAAAAGTAAAACACAAATCAGCAATTTAATTCCTTGATATCTACATTATCAATTAAAGTTCAAAACCCAAGTTACAGTAATTATTTTGAGCGCAGAATGAACAAGTGTACAGATCTTCAAAAACATCTACATGTATCACCTTTACAATATCCTGTGACAGGATCTGACAAACTAATTGAACCTTATTTTTGGTCAGCATTATCATGGACAGGATCTGTATAAATTTTTTCGGAATCATTTATCTTTGAAAACAAATTAAACCAGGCAATAGAACTTACAAATTCCACCCCAACCGTGACTTCATGATGGCGAGAATCGGGTAAAATCCCTATCCATTTCACTACACCATGCTCCGCACCGCTGTCACTCATCCATACAACCCGGTCACGTTCTCGTAAACCATGATAATCAGCAAAAGTCTGCTGTTCATTTGCAAAACCAGTAGCGCCCCCCGTTCCTCCATGGCTAGCTGGTCTGGTAAGGTCTCTTCGAATCTTATTCAATGGCACAAACACGGAAGAATTTGTTTCTGTGGTAAAGTACCGTTTTTTACGAAAAACACCATCACATGTTCCCTTACCCCGGTTTTCCTGAAATATAGATAATTCATATTCATAATTTATGAAAAAATATTAGTGTAAGTAATAGCTTTTTTAGAAGCAATTAAAAGTAGACAATAATGTCCATAATGTAATATGTTTTATAGTTTTAAATTACTGAAGATCTTATCAAAATAGTTTATACAATTTTACATGTATTCATAACTATTCTAATTAATTGCATAAAAATTGCTTTTCTTCTAATGAACATTCATTCCGTTGTTTTTTTAAAAAAAAAAAAAACAGAAATTGATAGAAGGACAAAAATGTAAGTTACAAACAAACAAAATACTGTTAAATAATGGATGAAAAGTATACATGTCAGATCACCTTTAATCCATTTGTATACATGTACATATAAACAACTATACATGTAGTATAAAAGTACAAATGACAACACTGAACAGAACAGTTTTATGATTCTAGCTTCAAGTTTCTCGATTGTGAACCCTATGAATACCAGTTCCTTATTGACACCACGGCTTTATTCAGAGATACTCGTTTTTCTGTACGTGACATGTCCAATGATCAGACCCCCTACAATCAGGAAGTATAGTACTGGGTAGATGTATGCAATTTGTATAGATCTAGAGGGAAGGGTCTCAACATCACACCATACACAAAATTTCAAAGCACTGACCACAAGTCTAAAAATAAGTGATGCAGGATTTACCACTCAAAAAAGTTAGGGAAGTAATAAAAAAATATTTTATGTTTACTATCCATTTTACAGAAAATTTCAGAACCTATTGATAACTTTATATCAAAACCGAATGCACATTTATACCAAAATATTTAATGTAGGATTTGGGACATTAGTCCTAAAACAATAATTTTGTGTTTCTGATTTCACTAGAATAAAGGTAGATAGGCAGAGGACTATATTTTGATTTTCTTATTTTTTTGTGTAAAAGTTACACTGTACAATAAAAAACAAGGACCTTGACCTTGGAGTGCTAGTCTAAATTTTCCTAAAAAATAATTATGTTAGGCCTTCAAACTAAAAGGTTTAATAAAAAGTTATTTCTTGTTCTTGGGTCATGTAAGCGAGATTCATGATTTCGTAGTTGACACTGGGTTTTAATATCAAGAGATCAAAGTTAGGCATCAAAGCCTAAAAACTGTTTTATTATTATTTTTTATCGACTATGGGAGAAATAAGAAATATATTAAAATAAGTGAAAATAAGGAAATTTATTTTCTATTCACTAATATGTTTGATAATGTGTTATAAAAAATAGTTTCTGAAGTTTGAAATGATGTTGATTTAGTCTGAGGTTAGTTGAAAAAATAAAATTTGGTTTGACTATTTTAGAAATTTCTTGGTTTTTGTCAGTGTTAGGCATTTAATAAGATACTAATAATAAGAAATCTTTTTTTATTTTTCAAAGTTGTAGTTTTCAAGAATCATGTCAATTATTCAAAGTCATGCTAAAATGTTCAAACTTATAAATCACAATGTGTGCAGGAAATATGAAGGTTTAATAAAAAGAAGGAACTGAAGCTCTATTTTCCTTTCTTTTTCTTGTTTAGTAACAAGGTATGTGGTGACTTTTATTTTATTTCTTCAGTTTTCTATCAAGTTCAAATAATTAGAGTTGAGATCAACTGTAAACTATCTTTCATTATGTTAAGAAATTCAAATCACCTACCCAATAGCTATAACCAGATTGTGATTGTAAATAACATGTGTATAGTTCTATAGAAGTCTTCTTCTCACCTGGTTAGTTTATAATTACACGACTTTTTGTTGTCTTTTGATTACGACCAAGTATTTACAGAAAAATGTGGTAACATAATGTAAAGGTTTTTTCCGGTTGTCAGAAAAGTGACTATGTAATTAGCCAACTCCTAGTTACCATGGCAACTAACATAGGTGCTACTTTGAATAATGACTTTTAGCTGACAAAAGTGATATTATGGAAATGTTGAAATCGATACAGTTTCAACGTTAGCATGCTATATATATAGAACTAGGGATTTCCCTGATTTGGTAGTTAAACCTGTTATACTACATTTAGGACATAGTTGTGGGAAGAACACTATATGCGGGAAAAACACTATATTTAATTACCAGATCATGATAAATGTTCTTAGATCTTTTAAACGTGTACAAACAATATTTTAGTTTCTGCTTATGTTATTATTAGAAAAGGAGGCTGACCTAGTTTTCATTGAAAATGCCAACAAAACCTTCAGGGTTGACAAAAAATAGAAGTAGGGATGGGTTATACAACAATTTCTATTCAAACTTTACAGGTTGAGAAAAACCTCAAAAGGTCAGTCCAGGATTCAAACCCAGAACCTCTGAACTCAAAATACTCTACACCAACTGACCATTCTGTTCCCAGCGATTTATACTTGCCAACTTTTTGAAATTTCATGGGATAGATTACACATGCTCAGAATAAAAAACATGAATAAAATGTGTGTATATATACACCCTGGGAAAAAATTACACTTTCATATGGCATCTTTGGAGCTGTTCTTTCAGATGAAACCAACAGATTTTAGGGTTCAAAACTGGGAGTCTTGTCCTCCTAAATACCTGTACTACCAAGTATTCTCCCCTTTTCCCAGTAGTGCATCAGTAAGAAAAAAGAAGTTATGCAAAACAGCTGTAGAAAAATAATTTGTTAATGTTAGTTATATAAACACATTATCTTTAGTATAATCCTTACATTAGGTAAGGGCAACAACTCCTTTTAACACTCTTACCCTTGAAAGTTCAACACCAAACTGAATACCGGTATTATCTTTCAATTCCCCTTTGTATCTTAGTATACCAGCTAAGTCTGGGTTGCCTTTGAGAGATACAATAACTGGATCCCCCACACTAAGAGTCACTCCCTCGTTAAGCCATGTTTTGTCATGAAAAACGGTCACACGTTCACTCAAAACAGGAATTGGCTGAAGTAAATTAAGCTCCTGGTGTTTCAATTGTTGTATTTCATCAAAGCAGCACTCCACTTCTGTACTGTCTGGTTCCAATAGCTCCAAAACCCAAACTAGTTGTCCATGTTTGTCAACTTCTTCAATATGAACCAATAAACTTCCTGGCAAAACTTCAACCTCAGAATTAGATGGCCTTAAAATTGACCGCTCCTTCTTTCTACCTATCTTTCTGACAAGTAAAATATAGTACACATCTCGATCCTGGCCGGACATTACATAAGTTTATCCTTTAGTGATACAGGTGTCTGTATACGTGTGAAGATTATTCAGTCTTGTGTAGGCGGGTTTTCATTCATTAATATGACTCGTGGTGGGAAAAAGACATGTTGTTACGTTCTATACAAGGAAATCCGAAATCCCGGAAGAAAATTAATCAGAATTCAAGCGTTAACATATGACGTAGATCCAAATAACGGTCAAATTGTTCATCTAAGGAGTCCCATCAACCTGGAAACAACGCTGGGAATTCCATTAAATGAGTCATCCGTGCGTTTGTAAGCAGGCGCACCCTAATGGGTTAGTTACAAGCTTCTCCTAACACAAGATTACATTCGATTTCTATAGGTTTTAGATTGTTCTGTTAGTCTCAAATTTGACCGGGATTTATTACAAGCATAGTGTGAAATTAACTACAGTTTTATGAGAAAAGAATGACGAAAGACAGATATGTTTTCTAAACCAATCATATCCGGACCCGTCACATCGAGTGTGTCATTTTCGTACCGTTGAGTGTTTGGCTACCTACCGTCAAACTTACTTTCGTTTTCGCTTTCGCGCAAACTTGGCAGAGTGTGGGTTGTCAACAGCTTGTGAATTATTTTATGTTCACATTTTTGTATTTGCATTAACTCATACATTGTTTTATACACTATGTGTTTGTTTTATGAAGCTTTTAATACCGGTTCATATATGTTTCATTCCAACAAATTAAGTTTACTGAGTATTTTGACACTTTCCATATGTATGGGTGCCCATATGTTTGCTGGAGGACATATTGTGGGTTCTGTTTAGCTGTAAGGCTATGCTTCTGACAACATCGTTTAATTATAATGCGTTAAGAAAATATAGGGAGTTTGCCTGTTGCGTGGGAACTGACCTAAATTGATAAGCTAGTCTGAGTGAGTGAGTGAGTGAAGTTGACCCAGCTTTCTTTACATTTACAAAATCTGCCAGTTTGGCTAGTAAATGTTAAGATTAACTAATGATATAATGGCAATTGTTTGACCATATGATTAGCTGGAGCTTATGCCATACCGCAGCATCCGTCATCCATCGTCCGTTCGTCAACTTTTCCTTTAAAACACTAATCGTCCTGAACAGCTAAATAGATTTTGACTAAATTTGGTCTGGAGCATCCTTAGCCCAAGGAGACTCAATTTTGTATAAACGGTGGGTGTAGAGGGGAAATAGGTTTAACCTTTAAATCCTTCTTCTACCATAGGGATTAAGGGATTTCATTCTAATTTAGTCTGGAGCATCCTTCAGCCAAGGGGACTCAATTTTGAATAAATGGTGTGTGTGGCTCCCCTGGGGGCAGAGGGGCGGGGCAAAATAGGGGAAATAGATCCTTCTTCTACTGTAGGGATTAGGGGATTTTATCCTTATTTAGTCTGGAGCATCCTTGGGCAAAGGGGACACAATTTTGTACAAAAAGTGGGTGTGGCCCCCTTTCGGGCAGAGGGGCGGGGCCAAATAATGGAAACAGAGATAAAACCTTTAAAATCCTTCTTCTACCGTAAGGATACCTTTAAAATCCTTCTTCTACCATTAAGATTAAAGTATTTTATCCTAAATTAGTCTGGAGCATCCTTGCATCTTGGTCTTGTTGTGGCCCCCCTGGGGGCAGAGGGGTGGGGCCCAATAGGGGAAACAGCAAATTTTTCAAAATCCTTGTCCTTCCGTAGGAATGACAGGATTTTGTCCAAACTTGGTATGAATTATCCTTGGGTGAAGGGGAACCAATGATATTAATGTAATACATGTATATGTACACTACCAGAAACATCTAGCTATTCCAACTTCATTTTCTTTTCTAACATTTGCAGGTGAGCGATACAGGCCCTCTGGGCCTCTTGTAATATTTTTATGTGCGAGAGAAATATATAAGATAAGCTCATTGGGTCATGCAATGCATGCTGTCCCATATAGAAAATCATATGGAAGTAAGAATTCTCATCGATGCACTAGCTGTGATTGTGTGTGAAATAGCAACTGTACAAACTGTTTTGATGTTGATGTTGATGTTGAAGATGTTGCAGTCGATTTCATCTAGATCCATTATAGTACAGCTGTGTGACTGGTCACAATTGGGGTTTTTTTCCAAGATTTTCAGAACATGTACATTTAATATAAAGAACATCACATCAACACACATCACACATTCACACATATCAACTATTGAAATTATCCTCATCCTCATCCTCCTCATCCTCGTCATCCTCCTCCTCTTCCTCATCATCATCATCTTCTGATTTTATACAATCACCAAGACACATTCAAGTATCACACACTTTCACACATAGAGAGACAAAACAAATGGACAAAGAGCACTAAGAGAGAGAGAGAGATCAGACTGCCAAATTTGAGTAAAAAAAAATGAAAATAAATAACTGCTGTGAGCCTTTGTCAATATTTTGTTTTAAAGTACATTTGTTCCTGTATTAAACCATCAATGAATGATTGTAATAAGTTGGCTCAGCCTGCATCGTTCAAAAAACACGATTCTGACTTACACTGTACCTGTATACCTGCATCAGCAGTCATTGCTACCTATTCTAATTGAATAGAGACATGCAAAAGACAATGTATAATACAAAAAGAAAGAGTGGTAAATATAGGTAAGGAAATATACATTGACAAGTGAGATTCCAGTTTAGTTTATGCTGCTTGTAAACATAAATAGGAGGGTAAATAGGAGGGGTCAGAGTAAGCAAGAGAATAACACCTACTAACTTAATATAAATAGTCATAAGACTCAGGGTTAGATGAGGTCAAGCTCTACTAATTTTAACCATTTTTCCCATTCAGAAGTAAATCTTCTAAGACATTGTTCCCCTTTACCACAAGCAATATATTTCTGAACCTTATAGTAATCTTGAATCGAATTGACGAAAGCCGTCGCATTAATTGACTTTTGAAAACATCTGGTTTTGTATGTATATTGTTTAATGAACAGAGTAATTTCATTATCAATTCTGGTATAAATTCCAGTTTGGTTGATAAAACCAAAGATCATTGATTCTTTACTTAGTGAGAAAGGAATAGTGAGAGCACTTAAAATACTTTCAAAATTGCTCAGAAATGTTTCTACTTCCCTGCATTCCCATAAAACGTGGGTAATTGTCTCCCTTTCTATTATACAAAAACACTGTGGGTTATTTACAAGTAAAATTTTGTATAAATAAGAATTGTTTGTTAAAATTTGCAATTTTGTATTTTTTGTTACCCTGAAAGGAATAGCATATCTTTTCCCCCAAGTTTCCTGATTATAGTCGAATATAGTCTCCCAATTTTGTTTGAGCAGTTATTGATGCATTATTTCTGATAAGTATATTATAGAAGTCTTGAGATCCCTTTTTCTTCTTTGAAATTATTACAAGATGTAATGGTATAATTGGGTATATCACATTTTTGTTTGGCAAATTAAGTTGTTTCAGATAATGCTTTATACTTGTTATCAAACCATGATATTCTAGATAGTTATTGTACCATGTAGATCACAAAATTCCTTAAAAGACAAGAAAGAGTAGTCTGTGTTGTTTTTCAGCAAATCCTTAATTATCATGATCCCATTTTTAGCTCACCTGCCCGAAGGGCAAGTGAGCTTATGTCGTGGTGCGGCGTCCGTCGTCCGTTCGTCCACGGACGCCCGTCCGTCCGTACATCCGTCCTCGTCCGTCAACTTTTCCTTTAAACAACTTCTTCTGAAGAACGGATAGGCCTAGAGTCATGATATTTGGCTGAAAGCTTTGTTGGTAGGAGCCCTACAAAGTTTAAGAACGAAAATGACCTTGACCTACTTTCAAGGTAACAGGGGTCAAATATGTCAAAAACTTCAAACGACTTCTTCTGAAGAACTAAAAGGTATTGAATCTTCATATTTGGCTGATTGGTTCCTGGGATGGAGCCCAACAAAGTTTGAGAATGAAAATGACCTTGACCTACTTTCAAGGTCACAGGAGTCAAATGTGTAAAAAGCTTCAAATGACTTCTTCTGAAGAACTGAAGGGTATAGAATCTGTATATTTGGCTGGTGGCTTCCTGGGATAGAGCCTAACAAAGTTTGCGAATGAAAATTAGTTTGACCTACTTTCAAGGTAACAGGGGTCAAATATGTCAAAAACTTCAAACGACTTCTTCTGAAGAACTAAAAGGTATTGAATCTTCATATTTGGCTGATTGGTTCCTGGGATGGAGCCCAACAAAGTTT